TTTTCCTATCTGGACTAGACCACACAGCTGATCACAACTCTCTTGTACTCCATTCAACCAGCAAAACCCAAACTGATTCAGTCTCATAAATTGCTTTCTCTTCTCCAATATGTAAGTGGAAGGAAAACACACAACTGCAAAGATTCGTGTCATTCCAAATTGATGATCGCCAACTTTTGCTGGGCCCTTAATGACACTCAATAATCCTTTTACTTGTCTTTAACCAGCTTACTCTCACTGGCTGCCCTAAGCAGTTAACGCCCTCCTGGAATGTCCTACTTAAATATTCTGTAAAACATGCTTCTCATTTTGAGTAATTTAACATTCTTAGGCACAAAGTACTTCAATGTCTTACACTTTCTTCTAACTTTACAAATATATATCCAGCCATCCATGCAGCCTTCTCCCCAGTCATAGATGATAAATGGTGCCTCCGAATTCCTAACCACCCATTCAAGTAAATCTCGTGACCTAGTTTTAACCCAATACTTTCATATTTCTTCTGAAGCCCTGTACCTTCACTTATCCCCAATCTTTTCTCCATTTTCAACTTCTCCCTCTTCTCCACTGGCTCCTGCTACTCTATGTATAAACACAATCACATTTCTCTCATTTTAGAGGCAAAAAACAAACAAAAAAACAACTTCCCCTGGTTCACAGTCCCCCTATAGTTCTTTTTCTACACTTTCTTTTGGTCAAACATTTTGAAACATATTCTATACTTACTGTCTTCACTTGACTTTTCACTTACTCTCCCACCCATACAATCTGACTTCTACCTCCACACTCCACTGGAACTACTCACAAAGGAAGCCAAAACCTTTGTACTGCCAATTCTTAAAGAAAATTTTTGTCCTTATCTTTCTGGACTTTCCTAGGATACTTGGCAACATTATTCCTTCATTCATTTTGACATCCTATATTCCATTTATTGCCTTGGAACTATTATTCTTGTTCTTTTTATACACCTGCCAATTTCTTTTTAAGGTTTCTTCTGACTGTCCTCCTTCTTGGCCTGAGAATTAAATGCTGCGTATTCCCCTGAGTTCTACACTTAGCCTACTGTCTGCTCCTTTCCTTCCTTCCTCTCCCCACCCCTTTCACTCTCAAATATACACGTGTATGAAAGTGTATATGTATATTAGGTTGAACCTGAAAATTGCCACTCATTAACCATCTTTGACCTACCAAAAAAAAGGCAATTTTCTATGGTCCAGTGTAATGTTTAAACAGCCCTTTAGCATGGAAGAATAAGAAAAAAAAAAACAAAACAAAGAATAACCCAATTAGAAGACTGAGAGAGAATTGCAAAAAAAATTCAAACTGAAGTCTCTGAAATGTTAAAAGAAAGTTACAAAAAAATTACTTAATTGTCCCTCTTTTAGAATAGGAGTAACCACTCTGTAAGGAAGTGGTTCTCAAACTCATTCAGGCAGAACTTCTCGAAGCCATACTGATCTTCTTGGTGACCACCCCAAAATACTACCATATTATAAATAAGGTTGGAACAATTTTATTAGCAGAAAACCACCATTATTATAAATATAGAACATGAATGCCATGGGGAGTTTTGTTGCTTTGGTTACTACTGTATTCCCAGTGTCAAAAAGGGTATATAGTAGGTGCTCGAAAAATATTTCTGAAATGAATAAATGTTATCTACGAAAATATAAACCACAACAATCAAACTAAGTATTTCTTGGTTTGTTTTTATTAATATGCATTTGCCACTTGTTCATTCACTATGTCATTTGCTACAAGCGGAAACAGGTCAGGAAAACTATGCAACACAGCCTTAAAAAAGGAACATTCTATGCATTAACTTTGAGTTGAGTGATGCAGCGCCTCAAAGCCCAGGTGCAAGAAAATCCTGTTATAAAAACCATTGCTGTACTGTCAGTTTGGAATTGTGTACCACTAGCAATAGAATAATACAATCTGTTAAATCTAAGCAAGGCAAGTTTTTGTTACCCTTAAAATAAATGGTTGATGTAAAGTGCTGTGGCTAGATGGTCAAAAAGAAGTGGTTCACCTCCAGAAATTAAAAAAAAAAAATTTATCAAAATCCATTCAATTATAGTACATTGAATTAAATGACTCCAAATGTTCATGATACATACCACAGAAGCTACAACAAATAATCCAGCTCACAAGCAGAAGGAACTGTGACTGACAACAGAGGCCATCCCAGAGAGAAAGGCTCTTATATAGGAATGCTTCACAGGAATAAAACCCCTCCTGTAACACAAATGAATAGTAAATCCTTATATGGAAAGCTTCAGTCACAAAATTATGCTCTAAATAACGAGTTTATTTTGGGCTATAGTTGCTTCGCTCTTAGACTAATTTTTTGGCATCAATATAATGAAAGCCTTAGAGGTTAGATGCCAGACTTCCTCAGAAAAAGGTAAGATGATTAGTATTTATATGCAATACTATTTTTATTAATATAGCTCTCAAATACCATAAAGCTTCATCAATTACAAAGAAGATTAAAAGTTATCCATTTTTAAAAATGTATTACCTTGGGTACAGTACATGCAGTAATTTGAACAGTCAGTAAAATGTATACAATGTTACATAATAGGGCTAGAATGTCATTAGAGGCCACAGACCAAATCCCAACTCTGAGCAGCTCCTTCTTTAGAGGCTCAAATGTCTAGGTTGCTTGTATTTCCACCAGAGTGAGAATCTGGGACTTTCCATTTTCCTTTTGTCACCTAAGCCTTACATAGT